TGAGACACTAGAGAACATTTGGGCTAAGTGAAACCAGCTTGCTCCTGTTCCTCTCTCACATAATTCCTGGACCACTGGGTTAGTGAGTCCCATGTCAGTGCTGTTCCATCCCTTTCTCACCCAGCAGTGGCTGCTCTTCTCCTGAAAACCTTGCTGGTTTGGTCTTGGTGTGGGCAGAGGGATCACCCGAGGAAGTACGTGAAGATCTGGGCCTGGAGATGAGGGGGTGACTCTGGGAGGTGTTTCAGCAGTCTGCTTCACCGAGGACAAAATATATAAGCACGACTCCAGAAGTAGGAAGGGCAGCCCGTGCAACCACACTGGGTCTTCTCTGTTGTATTTTGGGACCAAAGAGCAACTCACCCTATCCAAGAGATGCGCATCAGAGGAACCATAGTTCAGCCTGGGGAAGGAGAGCAGAAGAAGGGAGAAACACAGTTCTGAGATTTCGGCTTGAGAATCTGTAGGATTTGGGCATCTGTCCTCCATATCCCTCCAAGAATAAGCTACAAGTAGTAAGAGTGACACAGGAAGCATCACTTCTGCCCCAGATGCAGCAGCAAGGACCAGATCTGCCCACACTCTTGAAACAGCAACAAGAAACAGCCAAAATATGTGAAACACTCTTTGTCGAAACACTGGATTTCAAACAAGGAAGGACATTGCTCCTTAGGAGATGGGAAACAAATTAGGTGAGCCCCACAATGTCCCCCAGTCTACTCCCTTGAGAGAGGGAACTCGGATAGAGTCCTGACTTGTAGAAATGGAGCGGGAAGGCAGAGGCCAACGCAGCTGGCGCTCACAGAGCAGAGTACCCAAGAGAAGAGAGATACACAGAGACAGACCCTTGGAGCCTGCAGAGGGCCCCACTCAAGTATTTGGCAGAAGACAGATTAGTGTATGCAAATGAGGAAACTACCCAAGGTCAGAGGGAAAATATCTGAAAGGATTAGAGAACCGAGTGTCAGTTACTCACAAAAGGCCAGGAATGCTCACAGAGACAGACTGAAAACTTCATAATTCACAGGACACTGGGTAGTCTGCTCAGGAAGGAATGGCCTCAGTAGTGAGGAGTGATTAGCCCTACATGAAAACTGATCTGGAGCCACCTAACAAATCATAAGAGCAAGCCTTGCAAGGATCAGACTCTTTCCACATAACTTAGTTGCATCCCAAAACAAAGCACAAGAATATTTATAAAATTAGAAAAATACTCAGCATCCCATAGGGTGAAGTTTAAGGTTTCTGTCATCCAATCAAGGATAACCAAGCACACAAAGCAGCAGGAAAACAGAACTCATGACTAGAATAATCAATCAATTGCAACCAAACCAGAACTGATACAGATGTTGGAATTAGCAAAGGGCATTAAAACAGACATATCCTTAAGGCACTGAAAGAAAAAAACTGCCAACCCATTATACTGTAACCTATTATACCATAACCTTTGTTCAAAAACAAAGGTGAAATAAAGATATTTTCAGATATACAAAAGCTGAAAGAATTCATCACCAGAAAGCCTACAGTATAAGAACATTAAAGGATACCCTTCAGGTGTAGGGGAAATGATCCCAGATGCAAATACGGGTTTACACAAAGGAATGAAGAGCACTCGAAATGAAAACTTCGCGGATAAATGTGTAAGTTTTTTTTTCTTGTTCTTTAAACCCCTAAAATATAATTGATTGTTTAAGCAAAAATAAAAATAACATATTTGGGAGTTTATAGCACATAAGTATGTAAAATATATACCAATAATAGCATAGAAGATGGGAGGAGAGAAACAGAAATATAATTTTGCAAAGTCCTTATACTAATGTAAAGCAGCATAAGGTCATTTGAAAGGAGACAATGATCAATAAAAATAGATACTATAAACCATAAATCAACCATTAAAATAACAAAATGAAGAATTACAGCTTAGCAGCCAACAAAGGAGGTCAAGTGAAATTATAAAAAAAAATTTCAATTAATCCAAAAGAGCACATAAAAAGAGGGGGAAAGAACAAAAAACAGATGAACCAAATAGAAAACAAATTGTAAGATGATTTATTTAAACCTAACCATGTCAATAATCACATTAAATGTAAATGGTTTCAATACTCCACTTAAAAGGCAGAGACAGTTTGAATAAAAATGCAAGACCAACCTCTAGGTTGCCTATAAGAAACACATTTGAAATATAAACCCACAAATAAGTAAAAATAAAAGTATGGAAAATATGTTCAGAGACTAGATCAGAAGATCCGGTATTATTAAGATGCCAATACTCCCAGATTTATCTATAGATTCAATGTAATCTCAAAATTCCAGTAGGCTTTTTCTGTAGAAATTGACAAGCTATTAATAAAAATTCATAATAAAATGTAAAAAACCTAGAATTGCCATAACAACTTTGTAAAAGAAGAACAAAGGTTCCCGGCTAATTCTACCTGATTCCAAGAATTATTATAAAGCAATGGTAATCAAAACTGTAGTATTGGTATAAAGATAAAGAAACACTTCAACAAAAAAGCATAGAAAGTCCAGAAATACACCCACATCTATATTAAAAACTGATATCTGACAAAGATGTAAAGGCAATTCAGTGGAGAAACAAGTCTTTTCAATATGTAGTGCTGAAACTATTAGACAACCAAAGGAAAAACAACAAACAAAAAAAGAATTTCAATCCATATTATGCACTGTATCCAAAAAGAAAAAAACAAAAACAAAAAACCACCCAAAAACCAAACCAAACCAAACCAAACAAGAAACTAATATGGACCATGGAGCTAAATGTGAAACCTAAAACTATAAAACTTGTAGAAGAAAACATAGGAGAAATGCTTTGAGATCTTGGGTAAGGCAATAATTTCTTAAATATGACACCAAAAGCATATTCCACCAAAAAAAATTGAGAAACTGGACTTCATCAATTTTAAGAACTTTTGCTTTTTTAAAACCACTGTTAAGAAAGTGAAAAGGAAAGTCAAAGATGAACAATAAATGTTGGGGAAGCAAACACCTAATAAAGAACTTGTGTCTGGAATATACAAAGAACCCTTAGGAACACGAGCCTAATTTTTTTTAAATGGGAAAAGATTTGAACAGACAAGTTCACCAAAGAAGATACAAATATGCAGATAAGCATATGATAAAGGCTCAAAGCAGCTTTAGCCATAATTACCAAAACTTGGAAGCAACCAAGATGTCCTTCAGTAGGTGAATAGACAAATAAATAAATGGTGGTACATCCTGACAATGAAATATTATTTAGCACTAGAAAAGAAAGACAGCTCTGTCAAGCCATGAAAAGACATGGAGGAACTTTAAATGTATATTGAAAAGAAGTCAATCTGAAAAGCTTACCTACTGTATGATTCCAACTATGGGACATTATGAAAAAGGCAAAACTATAGAGATTATAAAAAGGATCAGTGGTTGCTGCAGTGGTGGGGATTGGTGGGGAGAGATGAACAGGCAGGGCACAGAGGAATTTTAGGGCAATGAAAACACTCTGAATTATAATATAATGATGCATGTAAGTCATTACACATTTGTCCAACCCGTAGAATGTACAACACAAAGCACAAAACTGAAGGTAAACTATGGACTTAGGGTGATCATGATGTAGGTTCAATGTAGGTTCATCCTTGGTTAAAAAAAGGTACCATGCTGGTGAGTGGTGCTGATAATGGGGGAGGCTATCCACCTTTGAGGGCAGGGAATATATACAAAATCTGTACCTTCTTTTCAATTTTATTGTAAACTAAAACTGCTCTAAAATAACTAAGTCTTTTTAAAGCCACATTATCTTGCTTAAAGCAATTGACCTTTGAGGGGTATCTAATCACTGAAAATGTCATACTAAAATTTCCTTTCAGCCATATTGTTCTCTTTCATAGTACAACATGCATATCTGTCTTCCCTGCTTTTTAATACTCCAAAGGTAGGAAAGGTACTTTGGCTCCTGCCCACAAGATGGAATCTGAATGGCTGTGGACTGTGATTCTGGTTCCTTCACTATTTTGCTAGTCTTCCTCTAATACAAGAGCCTCCATTTTTTTTTCACATTTAATACAGAAGCCAGAGAAGTCTGATTCAATAGATAATGAATATTCCATAGTTGTATGCAAGTACTACTCTTGAAGGGTTACCTCCTAAAATAGGAATTAGATACCATTGCTTGGTACGACTCCCAACAGTTCAAAGTAGAACTGGTGGGTGGAAGCCACAGAAAATTATTTCCCAGTACGGGAAACGCTGGGATGGTACCCGTGGAATGCGTTGATTTGATCAGCAGTGAACTCTCCGTCAAGGTAGGAGATCAAGAGCAAGCTAAATTTCTCCCAGGGGGAATTCAAGCCTCTGTTTTCAGCCGAGGCTAAGATGTGATCCATGTTGGGATAAGAGCTCACAAACTACTAGAAATCTGTTTTAAAACAAAAAAGTGGGTCCCCAAAATAATTCTGAAAGTTTTAAAAACTTAATTATAAATATATCTATGGAATATAATCTGTCAGTGTCAGGATAAATGGGCTTTTTGCTTCTGTCAGGGTGGGACCCAGGTTCTCTGACAACGTTGTTAGGATATGCAAAGTCCAAGAGACACTGCACACTGATGCTGTCTGTTCTAGACATTTACTCGAGTTTTACTGCTTGAAAAAGCAGTTTTTCTCTACTGAACGTAAATGAAATAAATGACTTTGTGCACTTAAAAATGCAGATTCTGGCTCTTAACAGTATCTCCCTTCTCCCCTCCCCCACATAATTCTCATTCCATACTTCTTTGTGGAGCTCAGGCATTTCATTTTTAACAAATATTCTAAGTGACTTTTATTGCAGATGGTCATAAAACTATACTTGGAAAAAAACACATTCAAAGAGAGTAGAAAAAACTCCCACTCTATCCAAGAGTTTATAAGAATGCTGCAGAACTTTATGTTCAAATGAATTCCATCTTTAAAAAAAAAAAACAAAAACACCACTGACACATTTTGGTTTTTCTTCTATCACAGGGCCAAAAGCCAAAATGAAATTTATAGTACTTGCTGTCACCGTCGGGCTAACTTTGCTGCTAGGAGTCCAAGCCATGCCTGCAAATCGCCTCTCTTGCTACGGAAAGATACTGAAAGACCGCAACTGTCACAATCTTCCAGAAGGAGTAGCTGATCTGACAAAGGTTGATGTAAACGTCCAGGATCACTTCTGGGATGGGAAGGGATGTGAGATGATCTGTTACTGCAACTTCAGCGAATTGCTCTGCTGCCCAAAGTAAGGAAACGCAATCACAAAATATACTGTTGTGAAATGTATGCTTAACAACTCTCTCTTAAGACATCTTCAAAATGACTTTGCTGAAATTAATCACTCTTTTTAGTAAAGATCCTGCTCAAATCTCAGCTGTTTTCTAGAATCATCACTACTGTGTACCAAATTGAATGTTTTCATTTAAGAAATAGAGTTTGGCATATTTTAGTAAAACTAAATGAAATCCAGAAAATTAATACCATGCCAATCTATTAAATTAATAACAGTCCAATCAGTTGGTTGCCTGTTTGATTTTTAACCACAACTGGTAGCTGAAGTCACCTTCAAGGCTGACATCTTAACCCAGTTTGAAAACTAATAAAGGGCTTTAAATAAAAGATCCCAGTGAGGAGATCAAATAACTAACTGGATGAAACAGTTTGGTAATGGTCAAAGAAAAACTTTCTCACTCTATGTATGAGTTGACCAGAAATTAACTAAGTAGACGTTATCCACTGACTTGGAAAGTAGATGTATTTTAAGTGTAATACAAAGGTGGAAAAATCAATAAACATTTTTAGTTCTTGACTTTAAGGTAATCTTCCTCTGGTTATTGAGGAATCTTTCAAATAGTACGATTTTGGCTATTTTATACTGACATTAGTTTTTTTCAAATTACTTTCAACATACGTCATCATATTTTTCATTTTCCTAAGAAATCTGTGATAGAGAAAGGGTAGCTATAACCATCTTATCAAGGAAAGGTTCAGAGACAGGAAATGACCAGCGCCATCCC